ACAGATTTGGAGGAATGCAAATCAGTTCCGTCCATGGTAGGTTAGCTTAGACACTATTACCGTCATTCAAGAACATCATTATTACCATACTGGATACTTGTCTCCCAGAACTTTAGCTACCACTCCTGGATCGCCAGCTAGAGCCTACATTAGCCCTTTCATTAGGGATGGCAAAATGGCTCGCTAGCTCGAGCCGACAATAGCTCGGCTCGTGGCTTGGAACCACCAAGCCGAGGCTCGAGCCCGAGCCAACTCAGCCAAGTATAAAAAAAAAGTTAAAAAAAAATAATATAGTTGCCTGCAAAACCCAGGCAGCTACGACAAATGTCTACGTTTGCATACAGCTGTCACAGTTGAATTTTTGGCCTAACAAAAGCTCGGTTCGGGCAAAAAAAAGCTCGATACATTTTTACTTGAGTCGAGCCCGAGTTTCAAATTTCAACTCAATGACACCCCTACATTTCATCTACTAATTAGGAATCAGCAATGATTACCTCTAACTTAGGCATCATGGTGGTCTACCTGTCAACCTCAACGTCCAACCAGTTGTGTTAGATCTAAGGTGGTGGCACGCATTTGAAGGTTTTTACTATAGTTGATGGGACTTTAGTTGCCCAAGTTGCTTTGTTGTGAGCCTATAAATGGTGGCAAATGATCTCCCCAAAGAGACTGGACTCAATGAAAAAAAAAATTCTACAAGCATTCCAATTAATACAATTTCCTTCATTTTGCTACTTTCTAGCAATAACTATTACCAGTTATCGCTTAAGTTGATTTAAATTGGCTACATCATTTTTAGACATTAAATGATTTGCGTCAAAAAGAGGGCCTCGTAAAAATTAACCCACATCTCCCATAAATTTTTTCAAAAATCCACTATACATCCTACCTAAAATACAACCATAAGTCGCAGTTTAGCCTCCAACCGTATGTGTAGGACAACCAGTAGCATAGCACAAACCATCCCCCTAAACCTATCGTTCAAAGCTCAATAAAATTAAACTGTTATGTCTCATAATTTAGAATGTTCCAATTCCTTCTTTCCATCTTGTAAGCAAAGCCATACATGCTTATTCTTTCCTTCTATCTCTTCCTTTTCCTTTTTTTTTTCAAAATACTAAGCCCCCGTTTGGTCCCATTATTTGCCATTTAATTTATGGAAAAAATATTTTTTTTTTTTGAAGAATACGTGATTAAAAAAAGAAAATGTTATGAAACGGATCGCAAAATAATGATAATAATGAAATAAAGAAAAAG